GCCAGCCATGCTGGCTAGGGAATTCTGGCAGTTGAAGTCCACACATCTTCAAGTGGTCAAGGTTGAGGAACACTGTATTAGAAGTTATTTCCAGATTATGCTGTACTTCAACTCCCATAATTCTGTGGTAATTAGGTGAGCTACAAAAGGAAGATCCATATATCTAGAGGATGTCTAGTTAGGGAAAACTGTTCTAAAAGCAATGTGCCTTTCTGACATATACCTTTTTATTTGCAGGGTGAGCCAGGCCCAAGGGGACCTGTGGGACCAGCAGTAAGTTATAAATGGTATCTTTGCTTTTATGCAAGGGATTTACAGAATTACGCATTCATCAAAATGATCATTGTTTAATTTTTTGACTGATGAAACTTTAAAAATTGTTCTTGCAATTGTATCCATTGTCCCTGTTGTGAGTATGCCTAATATTAAAATACTGCTGCCCTCCCTCTCTTTATTTCAGTAGGTGCAGTTAGGAAATCTTATTGATAGATTACGCAAGTAGATTCTGCAACAAAATATTGCAGGCCTCCTCACCTCAGAGTAACCGATACCTGCCAGCCAGACCTAGCCAAATCTAAGGAGCCCAGGCTAGCCATTTCTATCCCATGTCCTGCATTATTTTTCATATCGATGCTTGGCATTTCATGACTCTCCAGCATGCTGTCATTGGGTTCTCTGTGGGGAAGGGGGAGATATTAGGGATTTCTCTAATTTATCCAAATCTTGGAATTTCCTTGAGCTCTGTAATTTTCCCGTGAGCCTTAGTACTTTTTATTGTCCAGTTGCTGCATTTTGACCTTGATTTTGCCAACATTCATGTCAAAGTTTTCTGTTGGAAGGAGCAATGACATTAGTCCTTCTGCCTCCTTCTGGGTTTATGAATCCTGCAGTATATATGCCATGATGTTGCAGTGGTCCTGGGTCCTCCCATTTAGCCACCTCTTGCTATCTTTTTGAATAAAGTTTTTCATTTTGCTTTCTTTTAGGGGCCACCTGGGCGATCTGGACAGAATGGAGAAATTGGCTTTCCTGGAAGACCTGTAAGAATTTTGATTTTAGTTCCTTTCTGGTATATATTCTCTGCTATGAAATGAACAGGAAGAGAAAACTCTCCATTCATCATCCTGTATTTCATTGGAGTTAGTGGCAGAAATCAGACCTCAAAATTATGTATATTTTCTTTAAAATGAACAGTGAACCAGCAAAAAAAAAAAAAAAAGGAACACAGGCCCCATAATGTTCTGCAGGCAACTGCTCCAGGAAATAAATACCCATGTCAGGCTCTGTAATATCTACCTAAACTAAAAGTACTTTTTTTCTGCAAGCACTCTTCTCAGAGTCTCTTTAGCAAGATTTATTAAAAGAAAGGGATGAAGTTTCAAGAATCCAGAACTGAACTATTGTCCTTCTACAACCAATATATTCTAAAATACGTTAGGATGGAGTCTTCTTCATTATATTTTTTATTGCTTTTCTGTAAAGTAGTAGACTGGTGCGTCAATTCACTGATAATGAGTGAACCATCTCCTGAATCCTTATAGTGTCAAAACTGACCATTACAACTCATCAATCTTCTCAGCTACTCCTCCCCAAAGCAGAATTCTGGCTCCATCCAGATGCAGCTATGTCAGCCTCATGGCTTTTTTCTATCTTCCATTGAGCATGGGGCTATCTCCCTCCTAGCCACAATGGCGCCCTTTCTTCAGGGCCTGCCCTTTTCCAACCAGGATGCAGCTGCCTGCCAAAGTAATCCCACTAGCCCACAATTTGACATACATGGCACATCTGCAGCTGCTCTGGAATGACTCTCCAGTGTACAGCTAGAGTCTCTGGCAGGTGTCAAATCAGCACTAAGGAAGGAGAGCAGCTGTCACACAAGGCACCAGCCAGGATCATCCATGAGGATCTCTCCAGGGGCGAGAGTGTCTGGGTCTACCACGCTTCTTGGCTAGTCTCCAGTGGTCAAGCCTGGGCTTCTTAGCTTACCCAGCCATTCAAGACAGAACTGCAGTATAACTGCTCTCCTCATGAGTTTTTTAGGCATAAGAATGGCCTTGCACAGCCATGACTTCTTTCCTCTCTCTACCTTTTTGCTGTACACCCAACCGGACCAGGAAAGATTATGGGGGCTGAGCTATCGGTGCATGACTTCCCCTCTCACACTGTGTCATTTCTGTAATCCTTGTAACTGAATGTAATTAATCCATTTACTAGTTTTGTGTGTTTTAAATCATGGATGTTCTATTAGAATTGTTTTCTTACATTATAAATGTGAATGAAAGATTATGCAACAGTTTCAGTATAGGAAGATCCTATTTCATTGTACTTCGCTTTTCATAAGCTAAGTCTGTAAGTGGCTCATTCATAAGTTGCAAGTAACATCAGGTCTTCAATCTACTGAATAATTCATCCATAAATGTATCTTTCTGATATTGAAAGACTAGCTTCATATACAAGTATGACCCTAGATATAGATACATAGACATATAGACATATAGACATAGGTATGGTTTGTTGTATTGCTTTTATTTTTTCTCTTTTTTTTCTTTTGCTATACTTCCTTCTCTTTGTTCTATTGTATTAAATAAATAAAGTCAATTATAAGTAAACAAATACAGTACTTTCTATAGATATTTCATTGCATTTCATCTTGCTACTCCTCACCATCTTTTGAAGGCAATCCCACTGATTTGTTGATCCTTGCAGGGTCGGCCTGGTATGAATGGACTGAAGGGAGAAAAAGGCGATCCAGCAGACTTAAGCGGAGGTCTGGGCTTAAGGGTAAGTGAGCATTTCTTTGAGTGATGAGAACAGAAGAGATGCTGCATCAGACCACGGACTTCTCCAGTCCAGCTTTCCATGTCCCACAGTGGCTTACCAGGTTTATTCAGGAAACTCAGAAACACAGGCTGTACAGTTGTCTTTTCCATTGTCTTGCTCTGGCAGTTGCTGTTAAAATATGCAGCTGGTATATTGCAATTTGTCTGTTCTGCTTAAGTTCATTTGAATACAGTTCCAAGAGCTAGTTTAGTGTAGTGCTAAGGCACCAGGCTAGAAATCAGGAGACTGTGAGTTCTTTCTGTGAGCCCTAGGAAGGAGGCAATGGCAAACCACTTCCATAAATCTCGCCAAGAAAACCGTAGAGACATATCCAGCTAGTTGCCAAGAGTCAAGCCTGACTCAAAGGCACATAATAATATTGTACCTTATGCTGAGGGGTGGCAATATTGCAACAATACCAAGTTTAGCCTTCGGTTACTTTGGCCTAATATAGACAGTTGCTCAAAGTTTGGCCAGCATTTTGACAGTCAAGCCCCTCTAGTGCAAGAGTGCAACTTCACAGGGAATACATTTTGTTCTGAAGGATCTCCTCTCCCCTCTTGCTTTCCTGAGAACCAAGCAGTGGGAAGCAGCATCCAGTTGGGGAGTAAAGCAGCAACAACCCCCACTTGTGGGTTCTCATGCCCTAATCCAGGGGTAGCCAAAACTCCAAGAAAGGGATTTAGGCAAACTGATGTGAGTCCCCATAGGTTCCTTAAACCTGCTGCGCACACAGCCATCTGCTACTGCAGACTAATGAAATATTCATATTATTTGCAAAGCTGTGGGTGGCAATTTTACTTTCTTTTTTAATATGTGGATGGTGGAATGAAACACAAGCTTGTAAATTTTCATTGTTGCCTATGCTGCAAATGATAAGAAGCTGGAACAATATTTCACTGACTATGTTACTTACTTTCCATTTTTTTTCTGCTGTGTTTAGGTAGAGTTGAGTGGCTACTGATGTATCACATTCTCTCCGTCCTCTGTTTAATATTTCACCCTACTGTATTAAATGTAATGAATTTTGTGTTTTTCTCCCTCTCTTTAGGGTCTTCCTGGCCCCCCAGGTCCTCCAGGGCCCCCAGGACTTCCAGGTTCTCCAGGCAGCGCAGTACCTGTTTATGAGAATAATGTGAGTAACAGCTTTCTGGGGAACTAAGGGGATATATTGTTTTAGGGCAAAAATGGAATGTCTAATACACTTTGTAGCAACACACTTTTTGAGAAACTTTTTTATTGTTTCAGGCATTTGGTGATTTGGGCCCTCCTGGACCTCCAGGACTGCCTGGTAAGAAAGGGGCAGAAATGGATAAAGGAAAGAGGAGGTGGATTCAAGAAATCGTGCAACCATGGTGATTCTTGCCCATGTCCTACACTTGAACTGGTGGCTGGTTGCAATAGAGCATCCTCTCTCCAGCCTGGCTTCTGCCAGATGGTTTGGACTTCTACTTCCACTAAGCCTACACATGGGCCATGTTGGCAGGGCCTGATGGAAGATGTGATTCAAAATATTTGGGAGGAACCCAGATGGGAAATACCATGATAGAAAAGTAATACATTTTTCCTTCCGCGGCTCCCCTTCAGAACTTCTTGAGTTGCCGTTAAAAAAAACCAAAACATTAAAATGTGTTTTTTGTTTTTTTTCATCTAGCGATTCTTGTATCAGAATCATTGCACTGTTCTGCTCCAAAAGGATTTAAAATAATTTTATTTTAAAACAAGCCACAGTTTAAGCACACATTTACAGGGTTGTTTGAATGAGCAGTTTCTGGACATTTGGTTTTGTGTTAGATTTCACTTGGGCTTACTTTCTTGTTCTGGCGTGCTATGCTTTCTCACTCATTCTTGGGGTTGCCAAGCCTTATGCCAGTTTCTGTTTCAGGCTACCATGGTACTCCTGGTCAGAAGGGAGAAAAAGGTGAAGAAGGACCTCCAGGGCCACCCGGTAAGATTTCTTATAATATGATACCTATATTCAATTTCACATTTCCTCCAGCTCTTACCAAGACTTGTCATGGGTCATGTCATTTAAGGAGGCACAGAAGCTTTTTATGGTTTCCCTTGTTTGTTTGACCCATTTGGAGGTATCTTCTCCCTAAGGCCCCAATATTCCAGAACTTGTAGGAAACGTTGAAAATTGTAGCATGCTGTGACCTCAGGGTGGACTGGTTTGTGAGAAGGTGAGCCACATGAGTTCTTGCTCTGCAGCAGATTGTTGTATCAATACATCCTCCTTTGATTTGCTTTCTATGTCTTGCTGTCTTACTAATCTACTCTACGCTGCCCAGAGTCTTCTTGGAATTGGACAGCCTTAACAAATCCAATAAATAAATAAATAAACAAACAAGGTATGCATAACGTTCTGATGGTACTTCCCATGTGTTTACCTCTTCAGACCCGGAGAATCAAAAAATGTAAGCCTGGAATAAACCTGGTGCCTTCTAGGCCAATTATGTCATTGGAAACTTCTCCCCAGCTCTGATGCCTCAGTTCCTTTAAACAGAGATGTCAAAAACTAATGCAAAACAAGGATCGTGCCATGCCCCCCCCCCCTTAAATAAGACAGGAAGCCAACCTTCAGCTGATTTCATCTTTATTCTCTCAGAGATGTATGTGCTGACTTTTTGAATACAAATTTGAGGAAGATAAAATACATCTACAGATGATACAGGTGTAACTGTATTGCCTGGAAAATGTTCACTAGAATTTACAGTGTGAGACTTGTACACAAGGCAAGCTATGCCTGCCAAAATTGCAAACACATACTGATACTGAGTAACCAGCTTTTACATGCTGGGTTTTAAGCACTGAATACCCATAATATATGTCCTCAGGCATATATTTGTTTTCTGAAAAAAAGTGGTTATTTGTCTTTCTCCCTCTGTGTCAGTCATTTATATTTATTTCTTCCCAACTCCCACTATCATCAAAATGAACTAAAAGATTTCTGCGTCTGCTTCTCTTTGGTGGGGCTCACCTCTCCAGTCTGTCAGAAATTGGCACGTGCCTCCCATTTCAGCCCTGCCACTAGATATTCAGGGAGAGGCATATTTATTGGAAAGTGAGTTCCAAAATGTTCACTCAGTAAATATAAATACTCCTTTCATATGTTCCTAAGTAGCTTGGCATGCCTTGAAGGTCCATTGTCAAAGAGAGAGGGAAAGGAAGCACTCTCCTCAGTGTAGTGCATGTCTTGCCAGCAGGACAACTAATTCTCGGGGGTTTTTTTCCTTTATTCTCCACCAGGCCAGTTCCCTTATGACCTTAGCAGACTCAGCTCCACCTTCAGGGTAAGTATGCTTCACCTGGGAGGAAAGTCTGGGCTTCTAAAGAAGCCAGATCTCTCTGTCCCAAGATGATTGCTGGAGTAATGGATACACTGGACTTCAGAGCAAAATGGCAAATCCTTTTTGCCTGGCATGTATTTATTAGACTGGATAATATTTATAAGGAGACACAGGATTTTCATTGCAAGAGTATTTCTGTGAGTTATCTTAAGTGCCAATACTTTTCTCCTTCTCCATGTTAATAGCATTCAAGTTGTATTCCCTTAAATGTTGCTGAATGACTAGCCCCGGTATTATTGATGGTCCCTAAGGGATTGGAAGAGCTAAAGTTCTGCAGGTCTACAAATGGGGATTGTGGGCTGTTTAATGAACCAATCTTACACAACTCTCCCTATTTGTGATTGTGTTGATTTCCATATCCTTGGGATACAAACAAATTCCTGACTGCTCTGCACCTCTGAAAATGTAGCTTTTTAACCCAAGGAGCCTCAGATTATTTGGTCTTTCAAAAAGCATGCCTAGTATGTCATTTCTTGTTACATATGGCTTATCCATTATCAGTGTATGCAAATTCAAAATTAATGAGTGTTAGTTTTCAAATGACTGAATAATCATTTATTCCCTCAGACTTCTCAGTGACAGATTCACAAATTGTACAAAAATGTAGTATGTTTGCTTGCTTATCATCTTGATTAATGTTTTTTAACCAGGAGTTCCCAGCTCAGACTGTCATGATGACTAGTTCATTAGCCTGAAGGCTACAAAACTGAAGCCTTTTCATACAACAATACAGGTCTCTAGGGAACCCAAATTAAGACTGTCTCAGTCTTATTAATTTTTTATTTTTATTAAATTAAAAAAAAACTTTACTGCAAAAAGAGCTACTTTTGCCATTTCACTATGGCTGCTTCTCTGGCAGTGATTTTTATTAAGCAGAACATCAATGTCTGGTATTGTTGCTGAATAGCAACATAAAACCTTTGAACCTAATCATCTGAAACTTGCCTGGTTACCCACTCAGAAGAGGCAGTGATGTCTGACAATTATTTCCAATGCTGCATTCTCAAAGGAAAAAAAAAAATCGTTTTCAATTTGGCATGCATTACCCTCTCTTAAGAGCCAGCTGGGTGTAGTGGTTAAGGCACCGGGTTAGAAACTGGGAGACCGTGAGTTCTAATCCTGCCTTAGGCACAAAGCCAGCTGGGTGACCTTGGCCCAGTCACTCTCTCTCAGCCCTAGGAAGGAGGCAATGGCAAACATCTTCCAAAATCTTGCCAAGAAAACTGCAGGGACTTGTCCAGGTAGTCACAAGGAGTCAAAACTGATTTGAAGGAACAAAACAAAGCAAAACAAAACAATTAGCTTTGTATTTATGGAGCGTAGTGGCCAAGGTGGGCTTTTCATTCAGGATCAGAAATTTTGGTTGTTATGCCTCATTCTGCTTTTTCTTAGATTTGCGTTTCCCATTAGAAGGCTTCATTTGTTCATTTGCAACTTCTAGCAAGAGAAAAAGGTGGATGCATTTCAATTGATTATTGTAGCGTATTTGTTTACTCATTCTCTTTCCATAGGGAGAAAGAGGGGACAAAGGTGATCCTGGGTTGAAAGGTGAAAAGGGTGAACCAGGTGGTGGAGAATTGCTTGGATCAAGTGTTGCTGGACTTCCTGGTCCCCCAGGGTATCCTGGCCTTCCGGTGAGAGATGTCATAGCATATAACAATGTCTTTATAAAATTCTGAGCTGCAGCCTGACCACCATCTCAACAGCCTTCCCTTAAAAGAGAATGGTGGAGACTGGATGAACATTTTCTACAACTGTTCAGTCCAGCAATGGCTTCTTGAGGAGGGGGCACACCACTGCCTCTTTCAAAGCAGCTGAAACTACCCCCTCCCTCAACAAAGCAGATACTTTTGCATGGACCCAATCATGTCAGATCCTAGGCAGCTTTCACCAATCTAGACAGGCATAGATCTAATTGATAGGTGGCCAAGTTAGCAGACCTGAGGATCCTGTCCACTTCCTTGGGAGTTAAACGTTTGAACTCATCCGAGCTAACCACACAAAGCCTTGCTTCTGACACCTTGACATGACTTGCCCAGTCAGAGTCCAACTCTGAGTGACTTTATCTACCAGATGCCAAGAATATTCCTCACAGTACCCTTGTAGGTGGCCTGTGGTTTGTCCTCCCCAACAAAGAACAAATCACTGTAAAAAGAGCTACTGAATCACATCTGCAGATGTGGTGAGAGTGGGAAACAGCTCTGTAAGCTGGAGGTTCCCCTTCTGTGGCTTAGATTAATCAATAATGGTGATTATTGATTAACTTAACCATACTCCTGCCTTCAGGCAAGAAGTTAGTATTAGATCAACCTCTACTTTTATGGTTGTAATGACATCTACATTACTTGCTTTTTCAGGGCCCCAAAGGTGAGAGCATCAGGGGCCCACCTGGCCCTCCAGGCCCCCAAGGACCTCCAGGTGCAGGTTTTGAAGGACGTCCAGGGCTGCAAGGCCCTCCTGGCCCTCCTGGCCCTCCAGGACCCCCTTCTTTTCCAGGTCCCCACAGACAACGTGAGTAGATACTTAGTGCCTTTTCAATCAATTTGTTACAAATATGGGTGCTTTCAGGGTGGCATGGGGGAGGGGGTTAGGTTTCTAACAAACCAGATCATGGTTTAACTATAGTTTTGCTTTTTTTCAGATATCAGCATTCCAGGACCACCAGGGCCTCCAGGACCTCCAGGACCTCCAGGTGTTAGTGACCCATCTTCTTTGGGGGTAAGAAGAAAAACTCACCAGATAGTATCAGACTTTTAAAGTATTATTCTCCAACCTGATACACTCCAGATGTGTTGAGTCTAAAATTAAGCCTTGCAGATTTAGTCTGGGTTTCTACAACATAGAGATTAGAATAAAATAGTGTCAGTCTGTGGTTCAACAAATTGTGGGAATCTAACCACTGTCTTAGCACAGCGGTGGACAACCTGTGGCTTGCAAACTGCCTCCCCCTTCCTCCCCCCGACCTCTGAAGATTGCACTGCTGAAGTTTAGAAACAAAATGGTCAAATATGGGTAGTAGTATTTTGGTCATTTTTGAAGATTTGGGTGGAGATTAAGGGGAGAATGATAATAGTGTACATCTTGGAGGCCTCCAATTTCCATTTCACTCTTGCTCCCCTTGTCTTGTATTACTGACACTAGTGAATGGTAGCCAAAATACAAAGTTCTTTTCCTCACATTTTTAAAATGCTTTCTCTTCCAATAGGTACGGATCTTAGCAACCTACCAGAGCATGATGAGCAGAGCTCATGAGGTGCCCGAAGGGCAGCTGCTTTTCATCCGAGAGAGAGAAGAGCTCTACATCCGTGTCCACAATGGCTTCAGAAAAATCCTTGTGAGTACCCTCTGCCTGGACAGTGGCAGTGGTCCTAATGGGTGAAACTTTAGATGGACAATTATCTTGGGAGAATGGCATCTCTTTGCAGGGAAATAGAACTAGATTGTTTGCATATACAAAATGGGAATGCAGTGTCAGAAAGGAGCAATCTCCTGGAGAGTGTGCAGGAGTTTAAGCAAGCTCTTTCTAAATCCCACACTTGATTTAGAAAGAGCTTGCTTAAAATAAACTAATGTGGGCTTGATTCACATTGCATTGTTTAATGTCAATTTAAATGTGGCCAGTCTTTGTCATCTGATCTTCTCAGGTCTTAAGCTATGTAAATAAATACAACTGTTACAAATCCAGCTTCACCATCACTAAGGTCCCCAATGTCCTGGGAAAACCATTTATATACCCTGCAACTCAAAAAATTGCAGCAGGCCTGGAGCAGGCAGGAAATAGGCTTGTGAAATGTTTTTTTCCTAAACTCCTAGAAAGGAGAATGACATGCTGAAAATGTTTGTTCATTTGTTTGTTTGTTTTCTATAATTTCTGTGTGTCAGTATTATTACCAAAAATTTAGCTGTTTCAAGATGTTGGCTGGGAATTGCTATAAACAAGTGCTATATACATTCTTTAGTAATTGTTCTGGTTCAATTTCAGCTTGAGGAAAGAATATCCATTCCTGGCTCTGGACTGGTAGGTGGAACATTATTATCTAGCACTGGACCGTAGCTGGAAAACCTATTTCTATGGAACATCCTACACTTGCTGCTAGGTCTTTTCTGCTTCAGGAATGTTTATGTTTCTTTAGGATTTGTTTAATGCTTGGATTTCCATACGTAGTTATCCCCTTTTAACAAATCAAGATAGCTTATGTCTTGTCTGAATGCAATGCAACTTGGGTTATTAGGCAGTGGCAACTAGGGAGAGGGGAAATTCTCCCCCATGTAAGTGAATTGTATGGTTTCCTCATCCATATGCATAAAGGGAGAAACTGCACTGCTGAGAAAAGGGTAGCGAAGGATCCTCAAAAGGAACTGAGATTCTGTTTTTTGGCATTGGGACCTCTCCCTGCCACTCTGAGTGAGTAGAGAATCTTTCACTCACCTGAATGGGGAAGAAGCCATCCATTGTCCCTGCAAAACAACTAGAGGATTGGCTGTGACCTTAGCCATGTGTTTCATTGACTTTAGCATGAAAATGCCCTGGTAGCCCTTTTTTTATGCCATGTCCTCATATTGCCTTTGACTCATGCCCTATTCATACCTGAGGCAGTTTAGTTGGCTTTAAATGTTTCAGTTTTCTTCTTCTCCCAACATGGCTTTTGCCACTGTTATTATCTAGGATGCTTTATTGACAATGTGATTAATTACACTGTCAGGGATGGGATCTACTCATCTCTGGTCACTGGGAACTGCCCTGTTATCATGTGGGCATGGACTGCAGGAGAGACCAGGCACTTGACTTTTGCAAAGGCATCTACCTGTGTAATACATGACTACCACTTCCCAAAATATGTCAGCTCCTTACAAACAGGTTTGGCACTCGTTCAAGTACACCAGACCTCTTTTTTAAAAACATGGCTTTCATACTTTTTGAGAGAATGCTAGTCCTGTGCTGCACAGAAGGTAGATTTAAACTGGGACAGAGAGCTGGGTTCTACCAACTGTGTGTTGTTAGCAGATAGTGAACCCATAAAAGATCTTGAAGCACCAATACTGAATGGTAGATGAATGCAAACCAAGTTGGATTGCACTGTGAATGGCAGAAAATGTGGTTGTGATGTGATGAGTTCTGCCCTGTGGCAGTGCTTAATAGATAAGCTCTCCAAAGGAGTATGATTCTTCATCCCATTCCAGGACAATGAAGTCTATGACAGGTCTTCCAGCATCCATTACTCTCACGGAGATACAGCCTCCTCTGGATCCCAGCGTCCATTTCAGCCACACTCACCAGTGCATGCACATCGGGAACATAGTACTTATTCTACTGCCAAGCCTTGGAGAGGGGATGAGAGTATTGTCAACTCACACCACCTTCCTGAGCAACCTGCCATCCACCAACCTCATCAGGGAGCACAGTCCCAGCAAGGATCCTTGGACCATTTCTTTCCCAACCACCGCCAGACTGAGACTGCTCCTTTGGCAGTCCACACGCATCATGCCTTCCAGCCTGCTGTGAGTGCCCATACATAATCAAAGTGGTCTTTGTTCCAGTATTCCAGTGTTGTCCAACACTAATAGCATCTTTCCATACCCCAAATTGTATGTTTGGCATTGGTTCTATCCGCACGCCCTCCCTGCGGGTGTAT